GATTAATTTCGCTTAGCATAATACCCTCTAGTTCCATCCATGTAGTTGCAAATGGCAAGATTTCATTCTTTTTGATTGCTGAGTAATACTCCATTGTGTGTGTATGTATGTATGTATATATATATATATACTACATCTTTATCCATTCATCCATTGATGGAGATTTGGGCTCTTTCCATACTTTGGCTATTGTTGATAGTGCTGCCTACTGTCTTAATGTTAATGCTTTGCTAAAGGAAAAAACAACCTTAGTTTGACAATAGCTAGGCCTCCAGTAATCTGCGAGTCTTTAGCATATGAAAGTCTCTTTGAAAACTTCCCTTTTCACTTTACCCTTCCCAAATCCATGGTATATAACCAGTTACCCATCACAAGGTCAGTGCTGCTCTTCCTGCAGATTGGTCCTGTCCCCGTGCTTTAATAAAATCACTTTTTTTTTTAACGTTTATTTATTTTTTAAAGACAGAGACAAAGCAGGAGCCAGGGAGGGGCAGAGAGAGAGGGAGACACGGAATCTGAAGCTGGCTCCAGGCTCTGAGCTGTCAGCACAGAGCCCAATGAGAGGCTCTAACCCATGAATGGTGAGATCATGTCCTGAGTCTAAGTCAGATGCTTAACTGACTAAGCCACCCAGGTGCCCTAATAAAATCACCTTTTTGCACCAAAGACATCTTTAAGAATTCTTTCTTGGCTGTTGACTCTCAACCCCACAAACCCCACCATCACTGCAAAACTTCATCAGTCAAGATCATGACCTAAGTTGAACCATGAGTCAGACACTTAACCAAATGAACCACCCGGGTGTCCCTGGAATCTCATGTTTATTTGGATTCCCCTTACGTACAAAATGAAATTTTACTTTCCTCTGTTAATCTGTCTCTTGTCAATCTGATTTCTGACCAGCCAGAAGATCTTGAAGGGCAAAGGAAAATTTTTCTTCCCCAACAGTTTCACCAACTATAAAGTACCAGCTAAATATGAAGTGTTGTTATCCACTTGCTTGGGATTCATGCTTGGACAATGGGAAATTTCTTCTCAATTTTGTCTCTAAACTAAGTCAATCTTTCCATTAAGAAAAGAAACACAAGGGGCGCCTGGGTGGCTCAGTCGGTTAAGCGGCCGACTTCGGCTCAGGTCGTGATCTTATGGTCCGTGAGTTCGAGCCCCGCATCGGGCTCTGTGCTGACAGCTCAGAGCCTGGAGCCTGTTTCAGATTCTGTGTCTCCCTCTCTCTGACTCTCCCCCATTCTTTGTCTCTCTCTGTCTCAAAAATAAATAA